ATATATATATATATATATATATATATATATATATATTACAGAAGATGCGCAACTTTGAGCATATAATTAGATTTGAGGGCAGGTTGGTAGAGATCCTGAGGAGGAGTAAAATTGAATCGGGCTTACGCGCGCCCCACACTTGGTATTGCTGGCAAACAAAAAATATAGTTAATAGAAAAGAAACAAACAAGTAGAATAAAAAAGTGTTAACTTTTATAAAGACAAGTAGGGATTGATATATATTATAGTAATATAGAAAGTTTTAATGCTACAAAAAGTATTGAAACAAGAAAGCCAAAAGTAGGAAAGGTGATAACCTCGAGATATCATCTGACCTACCATTGGAGGATAGCAGATGTTGTTTACAGTCTTGCACACGGTATAGTTTTTCAACCATAACCTCTAGATATCATTTATTCGGCCAGTGAGAGATGTTGCTGTCATTGACCTGCTTGTGAAATATGTGAAGTATCACCTCAGGTAGAGAAGGTTATAAGAAAATCAAGAAAAAATACACCAAATACACGTTAATTTCAAAATGAAACAGTACTCATTAAAATGTATATAAAAGAAAACCCTTTTTACAGTACACTGATGTATAAAATATACACACATATATATACAACTAAAGAAAAATATAATGAAAGCTCATTTAAAAGTATTAAATAATACGTATATACAATGATGAAACCTTTAAATTATTAAACAACATGCATATATGTGTATGTGTTTTGTCATTCGTATCCAGAGGTGAAATTTAATTGTGTTCTGGTTATATATATATATGTGTGTGTGTATACAATAAAAAACCCTTATTCAATGCAATAAGAGAATACGTCCTGGATTTTTGTATTGTAAGTCCCTAAACTTATTGTTTACCCTCTAGGGGACCATGTATAAGAAATATTAAAATTAATTTAGGTTACCATGTGGTGAAGTAAAACGGACTTAAAACCTCACAGATAAAAATTGTATTCCATTATTGTAGGTGGCGTGTACAGTATTTTTTTAGTGATCATGGCGTCAGTGAGGAATTTGGTAAGTGAAAGCATCTTTTATTGTTAAATTTTGAGTTTATCTCCTCACTTTTAGTTCGAAATTTTTACGTTATCTTGGATTGCTTGAAATTGTAAAGCATTATTGAGGGAATGGGTTTTACCAAGTATTCACATTTATAGAAAAATAATGTAAGGGGTGAGTGTATCGAACTCGAAAGTACAAATACATCTTAGTTACAAATTTATTTATAAATATAACTTGTAAGAAGTGCGGAGATGTGTTTCCACCAGGTCCCACACTTTAAAGTTAACGCGACTACGTCATTTTTGACATAATTTTCGTATGATAACTTAATCGGTAGTTGATTGTGTAATCAAAATCCGAGTTTCTAGACATTGAAGTTTAGACTTTAAAAAAATTCATCTCTAAAGCCCAAAGGCAAGTCTAGGTCAGTGCTACCAGATTAAAAAAGGCTATTCGCCCGGTGGCCAATTTTTATCAATTCAGTGGCAGATTCAAACCAGCTCGAAAACAATTAATGTTATGATGGAGTAACTTATTGTGATTATCAGTGTAGAAAATGCTGAAAATGAAATTATATTACTTTAAAAAGTTAAATGATCCAATATTTTTCATATGCTAGTACTAACTTCTGTTATTAAACATTAAAAAACCTACATGTTTTTCTATTTAATCGTGAACCATGATAGTGGTTTATAATACTAATAGGAATTGCACAAAACCCTAATAGAATGTTTGAGCAAGGAGCACCATAACTACTAAAGATTCAGTTCAAACAATACTTTAAAACCTTTACTATTGACTGCTAAGGCTGTACATATATACAAATGCACAAAAAAGCATGCATGTTAGGAAAAGAAAATTGCTGAGAAGGCCTGTTTGTAATTCTTTTTATTATTATTCTCTTGCCAGCCTACAACAAAAATGACTTGGTATATTGCACCCAAACCTTTTATAGAATACTAAATAAGGTACTGCGAAGGTCATAGGGTATTTAAAATGGATTTGTTTCTTCTATATTTTACATAAGCTAAAAATTATAATTCTAGTGTAAACGATGTTATCATTACCCCTTGAAGTTAGTTTTCTGATAAATATAAGGTGTTCCTTTAAGAAGCTTAAGAACAGGGTGAAACAGGAACTATCAGCCAATAATAGATGAACATTAGATGACTTTAATAT